CAACAACGAGCTTCTCTTTTCCATTCACTCCGTCAGGGGTCCCATTAATGCCACTACTGGTGCTCATGAGCACTTACTCTGTGCTGAGCCGTGCCCAGGGTTCCATCTGTACAACCACCCTACCATCATCTTCGTTTTTCAGATGAGAAAACTTGGGCCCAGAGAAGGGAAATGTTTGCCCAAGTTCACACCACGAGTAAGTGGTGGAGCCAGGGCCCTAACTCGGCAGCCACCTCCAGAGCCCGTGTCCCTCCCTGAACTGGTCACGGGGGGGGGGCCCCATTTTGTGGGTGCCATCTGTGGAGAAAGCCCGTGGCCTGGGAGTTGGGGAGAATGTCCCGGTGGGAACCAGAGGCGGGGACGGAAGTGCAGCAGCCTCTGCTGTTTCCCACGACAGCCTTGGGGCAGGAACAGAAGAGCGACCTCCCTCCCCGGTGTCGGACTTCCTGACCCAGAGGGGGGCAGGTGTCGCCCTGGCAGGGCCATCAGGGAAGGCGCTCACCGAGGGCAAGGCCCCGAGTGGGCAACCCGTGGGGATTCGGGCTGAGGGGCAGGGATGCACTGGCGTCCCTCCTGGTGGCAGCCAGCGGCCCTGCCTGGGAGCGGCCTGGGAGGGGCCTGGGGACCAGACCTGGGCCAAAGCAGCAGCAGGCCCCGAGGGCCACCTGCCGTGCGCTCAGCCAGAGGAGGGGCTGTGGGATGGTCTGCAGGAGACGGTGCAGCTGAGCAGGCAGGCGGGGGTGAGGGCGCACACGGACATACGCGGACACACACGGACACACGCAGACACATGCGGACACGTGCTCACAACAGCCAGGTTCGGGGTGGCCCAGGCTTTGTTTGGTTGTTGTTTTGTTAATCTGCACCCGAGGGTATTTTTTCCCACTGATTTTTAGAGAGAGTGGAAGGGAGGGGGAGAGACAGAGAAACTGTTGTGAGCGAGACACATCGATTGGTTGCCTCCTGCATGCACCTCAGCAGGGGCTGGGGATGGAGCCCGCAATCAAGGTACGTGCTCTTGACCGGAATCAAACCGGGGACCCTTCAGTCCACGGGCCGATGCTCTACCCACTGAGCCACACCGGCAAGGGCTTGACCCCGATTTTATGTGGGGTCTCGGGAGGCCTAACTTTGGACACTGAGGACAGGGTGGGGCTGGGCAGCCAGAGTGTCTCCTTGGAAACCAGTCCGGGGCCTGCAAGAAGGACAGGCAGGTCAGGGCGACAGTGACAGCTGCCTCTGGCGCCGGGTGGCCTTCAGCACCGCTGGCCCCACATCCGAATGACAGCCCACACGCTGCAGCGCAGACGCAGGGCGGGGCGAGCGAGCGGCCCAGCGAGCCTGAGGGCAGGGCTGTCGGGGACACAGGACATTGGATTCAGAGCCCTGGATTTGGAAAGAATTTACCTGAGCCTGGGCAGGACAAGGTCAGGACAGGTGGGGACACCTTGTGGGCTGGGAGAGACAGCGGTGTGGTCAGAGGGTGTATCATGGCCAGTGACATCGACACCAGTCCATCGCCAAGCCTTCCTCCTGCCTCCACGTGGCTCCCCCTCCTCCTCCTCCCAGGCCTCCTCTCACCACCAGATCCAGGCCCCCACAGCCCAGGTGGCCACTTCAGGCCTCTCTTCTCATGAGGCGTAACCTTGCTCACTGTCTGGAACTGGTTTGGCACCTTTACAGACCAAGACCTTTACACTGTATGGAGGTGACCTGGCTTCAGCCAGGCTCTGAGATGCTGGCGGGAGCAGCCCCGGCCCCTGGACCAGCGTGTGGCCTCCTCGCCGGTCCTGGTCGCCCCTTCCCCGCCCCAATCCAGGGCTCTCTTTAAAACACGTCTAGTCACTTTGTTCTCCTGCTTAAAACCATCCAGCGACTGCCCCATCGTAGAACAAAATACTTCTATTTTATTTATTATTCCATAGTAGGTTTATAATAAGTTACTCTGTAAGTCATTTTATAGCATAAAAATCCAGGCACAGCCTTCCCTGCCCACAGGGCCAGCCTTTCTCCCGCTGGCGTCCATCACGGCCTCCTCCCTCTGTGCGCCCTCCACGCTGTTCCCTCAGCCGGGACTCTGCTCTCCCTGCCTCCCACCCCTTCCCCTGGCTCCGTCCTATCCATCCTCAGGAAAGCCACCCGAATGGATGTCCCCATTGGGGTCAGAGCCCCTGAACCCCCTCAGCCCCCCCGTCCCCTGGTGAAATGGGGGGGAAAGGGAGACAATCTAATTCACAGCCATGTTTCCCAGATCATAAGATGCTCCCGGGCACATCTGCGGGGTTCCCTGCTGGATCCCAGAGCCTGGCACACAAAAGGGGGACATGACCCAAACGTGGCCGCAGAGGCCCCCCGAGGTGGCCAGGGGCTCCTCAAGGCCACAAAGAAGTGAGAGCAGAGCAGGGACTAGACCCCAAGCCCCTGCTTCCCATCCTGTCTTGCCCCACACCTCATCCTGAGACCTTCCCGCTCAGCAAGGAGGGAGAGGCCCGGGGAAGCCCTCCCTGCCCAGCACCTGCTCTGCAGGCCCCATGTCATCAGACTCCAGCATCCACCGCCTCCCGCCATCTGCCATCCACCGCCAGCACCTCATCCCCACCCTCCACAGGCTCCCTCTTAGTTTGCTCATCAGCTAAACAGTCTGCTCGTCTTCATTGTTATGCTCAGAGGAGCCTCATTCATTATCTCAGTCCCCCTTCTGTCTGGGAGAGGCTGGGAGCAGGGAGGGAGGGAGCTGGGCCAGGAGGAAGTGCCGCAAATGGGTTCCTGAGTGGCTTTTGATAAGAGTGGGACAGCCTGCATGCGGGCAGAGGGCTGGATGATGGATGGAACGTCCTGGAGCAAGGAGAGGGTGCAGGTAGGCGAGGAAGGAGGGAGTGAGGGCGGTCAGAAGGAAAGATCCGAGGCGGGGAAGAATGGAAGAGGAAGTTGGGGCTGGGGACTCTCTCCTCTCGATGCCATGGGCTTGCTGGACAGAGCTGCCTTCCCAACCTGCCTCTTCCTCCTCAGAGCGCCTACTACGCGCCAGAGTGCCAGACGCTCAGTTATACCTCCTCTTAATTCACACCTTACCCTCCAAGGAAGAGAACCGTCTCTATTTCACAGGTGAAGAAAACGAAGGTTCAGAGTGGTTAGGTAACATTCCCACATCACACAGCTAATCACAAGGAAAACAGAATGTGAAAACACTCACTCATCCACGCAGCAAGTAATGTTCGAGTGTCCGACACAAGCCCGCACTCTGGGAGCACCACCTCCTCGAGCCATCGTAGCAATTGTGGGAATTCCTCCCAAAGCGAGGACCAGTCTTCTTTCTCTGCCTCCCCCTGACCGTGAAGACGCCCCGCCCCAGTGCCCCTGATGCCCCTCTACAAGATTCAAGCTGGGTGACTCTGGTATTAGGGTTTCTGTCGGAACCAGAGGGCCATGTCCAGGGGTTGGGACAAAAGTCCAGAACTCTCCAGCCAGAGAAGGGCCTGGGCAGCCAGACGGGACCCCGTCCCATGTCACAGAGGGTCCTCCCCTGTCTTACCTACGTTTCCGCTCTCCCTGTGCCGTCTCAGGGAAGTGGTAGAAGATACATCCTCATTTTTATGAGGGTCAGCTGTGGGTCTCCCACGGCCCATGGTCTCCCATGCATGGCACTCAAGCCAGGGAGCCCTGATCATCCCCAGTTTGCAGATGAGGAAAGGGGGCGTTAGAGATCTTGGCAGATACGCCAGGACCCATTTGCTTGACCCCCACTCTTTGTCTGATGGCGGATAAGAGACAGGATTCAAACTTCAAGGAGCCCGGACCCTAAGCCAGGCCCCATGCTCTTCTTCCGCCTCCCCTACATCCCCTGCGGGTGCCTGGAAAGCATCCCTGGGCCTTCGTTCGGTTTCCACTCATTCATTTACCCACCACTGCTTTGTGCTTCCTCTCTTTCTCAGAGAGCTCCAAACTCCTCAATAGCCTACAAAGCCCTTCACATCTGATCCCTTCCTGTCTCACCATTCCCCTCTGTTACCACTCTGCTGTGTGCTCCTCTCTCCCACCCCCATCTAGCTGCTCCCCAGCCCTACATCATGCCCTGCAGTCTCTGCTCTAACTAGACAGCAGTCCCCAACATCACCATGTCCTCTCTGTCCTTGGGCCTTCCCACTGGCTAATCCTTCTACCTGGACCACCGTTCCTTCCCTGCCTGACTAGGCCTATGGAAGCCTCAAGCCTCAGCTAAGTGAGGCTGCCTCTGAGAAGCTTTCTCCATTCCCACTAATACCCAAGTTTAGTTGCTCATTTTTACTTATAATTCCTTATTGAGCAGCTACTATGTGCCAGGCCCAATGAGGGTTCCACAATAAATAAACACGATGAGGCTCACTCTCACGGAGCTTCCATTCTGCTTTGTGCTGTGTGCTGTGTGCTTTGTGCTTTCTTCTACACCTTCTCCACTTCATGTTTATTACCTTTTACTGATCCATCTTCCTGAAGGGAAGAAAATAACTTTTTTAAAATTTATCTTTATTATCGAAAGTATTACAGATGTCCCGGGGAAGAAAATAATTTTAAATCATATATCTGGTGAGGTCTAGCATCATGAATATATAAAGAACTCTTACCACTTAACAACAAAGAGACAACTAACTTATAGTAGTCAGGGTTTTCCAGAGAAACAGAACCAGCAGGAGAAAGCTAGACATAGACATAGACATCTATATGTATAAAAGCCTAAGCGACCAATCAACCGACCTACTGTTCGACCGGCCGACCAGTAGCTATGATGCGCACTGACTACCAGGGGGCAGACACTCAACGCAGGAGCTGCCGAGCTATGGTGACTTGGCAGCTGTGGTTCTCGGGTGACACACTTGGAACCAGAGAGGAGAGAGCCCGATTTCAGGGTGCGTCACCCGAGAAGCGCCCTCTCACAATCCGGGACTCCTCAGAGGACGTCAGAGAGCCAGTTTCGGCCCGATTCCCGCAGGCCAGGCCGAGGGACCCCACTGGTGCATGAATCCGTGCACCGGGCTTCTAGCATTGATATAGAAAGAAATTTATTATAAGAAACTAGCTGACATGATTATGGAGGCTGACAAGTCCCGAGATCTGCATGGTGAATCAGCAAGCTGGAGACCCAGGGGAGCAGATGGTGTAGTTCCAACTCAAGTCTGGAGGCCTGAAAAATACCAGTGTCCCAGTTTGAAAGCAATCAGGCTGATGAATTCTCTCTTACTCGAGAAGCCAGTCTTTTTATTCTATTCAGGCCTTCAACTGATTGGATGAGACACACACACATCAGGGAGGGCAATCTGCTTTACTCAGTCTACTGATTTAAACATTATGCTCATCCAAAAATACTACGTGCCCCACCCGCCTCCCCACACACACACCGAAACACCCAGAATAATGTTTGGCCAAATATCTGGGCACCTCATGGCCCAGTCAAGTTGACACATAAAATTAACTATCACACAACCCAATTTAAAAATAGGCAAAGGACTTGAACAGACATTTCTCCAAAGAAGATACAAATGCCCAACAAGCACATGAAAAGATACTAATTAAGGAAATGAAAAACCCACAATGAAATACCACCTCACATCCACTAGGCTAGCTATAATTTAAAAAAAAAGAAAGAATTATTGGCTGGGATGTGGAGAAATTGGTACCCATGTGTCTTGCTGGCAAGAGCTTAAAATGGTGCAGTCACTGTGGAGAGCAGTTTAGTGGTTCCTCAAAATGTTCGACCTCGAAATTCACTCCTCTATATACATCCAAGAGAAATGAAAACATACGTCCACACAGAAACTTATATACAAATATTTATAGCAGCATTATTTATGATAGCCCAAAGGTGAAAATGACCCTATTGTCTATCAGTGGATGAATGGGTAATCAAAATGTTGTATATTAATATGATGGAATATTACTCAGCCTTAGGAAGGAATGAAATTCTGACACATGCTGCAACAAGGATGAACCTTGAAAACATTATGCTCAGTGAAAGAAGCCAGACACAAAAGGTCACATATTGCATGTTATATGAAAAGTCCAGAATAGGTAAATGCATAGAGATAGAAAGCAGATTAAAGGTTTCCAGGGGATGGATGGATGGATGAATAAATGGGTGGATGGATAGATGGATGGATGGGTGGGTGAATGGATGGATGAATGGATGGATGGGTGGATGGATAGATGGGTGGTTGGATGGATAGATGGGTGGATGGATGAATGTGTAGGTGGGTGGTTGGATGGATAGATGAGTGGATGGATGAATAAATGGTTGGATGGATAGATGGATGGATGGGTAGGTGGGTGGATGGGTGGGTGGATGGATGGATGGATGGATGGATGGGTAAGTGGGTGGGTGGGTGGATGGATGGATGGATAGATAGGTGGATGAATAGATGGGTGGATGGGTAGGTGGGTGGATGGATGGGTGGGTGGATGGATGGATGGATGGATGGATGGAAAACAGGAATGGGGAATGACACAATGGGTACAGGGTGTTCCTGGAGTGATGAAAAAGGTTTGAAACTGGGGAGAGGTGGTGCTTGCACAGATGATGAATGCACTAAATGCACTGAATTGCACACTAAAATGGTTAGTTGTGTGTTACGTGAATTTCACCTCAGTCATGATCATCATCATCATCATCATCATCATCATCATCTCCTGTCTTTCCTATGTGGTTGTCAGGTATGACAGCTGGAATCCTGGTTACCTACCATTGTGACTCTAGCACCTAACACAGGCCCTGGCACAAAGGAGGTGCTTAACACATCTTTGTGGAATAAATACACACATAAACAATGACAAACATTCACGAGTGAAAAAGGAAGCATGGCACCCATACATGGAGAACATTAAGCTTTTCCAAAATTAAAGGCGGGGCGTGCAGCCGGAAGAGGAACGGGTTTCTTTTGTGTGATTCTTCAGGCACAAAATCAAAACCAAGCAGGGGGGTTACAGGCAACAGCTCTTGGCTAACCCTGAGAAAGCCCTGTCCACCCTCGGAGCCGCTGGGCAGTAAGACAAGCTGTCCTGCGAGGCAGTGAGCAGCCTGTCATGGGAAGCATTCAAGTGGAGACGAGGGAACTTGTTGAAAGAACTCATGCATCAGCAGGAGTTTTCCCCTAGACAGCGAGTCCCTTCCAACTCGGAGCCGCTGTGATCTGAGCCTACTTACAGGCCATTAAAATCCATTTAGCCTCCCGCTGGCTGCTTGCTGCCTTGTTGAATCCATCATCACCTGGATATTTATTGAGCGCAGATGTCACACAGAAGGATCCAAAGAGGGCGCCATGTCCTAAGGAGGCAGAGGTATCAGGTCATTCTCTCTATTCCGTCCCTCCCAGGCTGACTCACTGCTCAGAACGCCACTTGGGAAGGCTCTGGCGTGCGGACAGCAGGCTCATTTATCGTCCCCGCTAGGGTTTCTGCTGTCCCCGGTGTGCCCACCACCTCCTGGCCCCAGCACGGGCATCTTCTGGCAGCATCACCCGCCACAGCTGCTGCTCTGCTGGGCTCACCTGAATTCCCACATCCCGGCCCCACTCTCCCTCAGGGCCAGGCACTGGTGACCCCAAAAAAGGCTCCTGACACGCAGGGAGGGACAAGATCGAGAAAAGTTATGAGGCATCTACAAATGCACCGCTGTGTGTCCTTTAAACTAGACATTGTGGGTATTCTACAATAACAAGGGGAAAGAACTACGATGTGCATTTTAACTCGTTATAGGCGACTTGTATATTATATTATGTTGTATCAGATATATTATATTATACTAGAGGCCCGGTGCACGACATTCATGCACTAGGGGTAGAAGTGGGGGAGGCGTCCCTCAGCCTGGCCTGCACCCTCTCTCGGTCTGGGACACCTTGGGGGATGTCCGCCTGCTGGGCATTTGAATAGCTATGCATGGGGCCAGGTGGATAGCAGGCTATGCATGGGGCCAGGTGGGGAGCATGCCTAAGCAGGCAGTTAGACATCCCTTGAGGGGTCCCTAGTGCGGTCGCAGAGGCAGGACTGCACTCACCAGCCGTGAGCCCAGCTTCTGGCTGAGCAGCACACCCCCTGTAGGAGAGCCCTGACCACCAGGGGCAGCTTCTGCGTTGTGTCTGCCCCCTGGTGGTCAGTGTGCATCATAGTGACCTGTCATTCCACCATTCGGTTGATTTGCATATTAGGGTTTTATTATACAGGATTGTACTAATTCCCCCTCTTTCTTTCTGTCACATCCCCATTTGGGGCAGGACAACAATGTGCCCTATGTCAAACCGGCACCTGACCAGGGACACAGTGTCGGTATCTGAGAGGTAAACATATGTCCCTGGGTGGCGCTGCAGGAAGCATCTAGACCAGTGATGGCGAACCTTTTGAGCTCAGCGTGTCAGCATTTTGAAAAACCCTAACTTAACTCTGGTGCCGTGTCACATATAGAAATTTTTTGATATTTGCAACAATAGTAAAACAAAGACATATATTTGATATTTACTTTATATTTTTAAATGCCATTTAACAAAGAAAAATCAACCAAAAAAAATGAGTTCGCGTGTCACCTCTGACACGCGTGTCATAGGTTCGCCATCACTGATCTACACTAATCTGGTAGCCACTAGCCACATGTGGTTATTGCACAGTTCAAATGTGGCTACTGCAACTAAAGGACTGGACTTTTAGTTTAATTTTACTTTAAAAAGCAACATGTAGCCAAGTAGCTATTATATTGGACAGTATAGGTTTATATTTTTTATATTTATTTTATATATTTAAATGCCATTTAACAAAGAAAAATCAACCAAAAAAATCAGTTCGCGTGTCAGAGGTGTCATAGATTCGCCATCACTGATCTAGAGGCATCAGATCCCCTCCGTGCTTTGGCCGTGGCCTTCCTCCTCACCTTGTCTGGGACAAGGCCTCGGTGCCCAGTGATGGGTGCCTTCTCACAACCAGGGGGACTGAAGCACAGCCGGTGACAGTGCCCTTAGAAAGCTCGAGGACACTGGTCCCCGATGGAGCCTGGGAGCTGCCCGCCTGAAGAGAGTCTGAGACGGGAGGAAAACAGCCCCTATTTGGTTTAAGTCCCTGTGGTTAGTACATGAAACAAAAACAATTCTAACCGATGCAGCGGTAGTTAAGGAAACTTACACAATGTGGGGTGAACAGAGGTGACTCCTTGGAGCCTCGCAATGGGATCCTATTTGGCATAAAGGTCTTTGCAGATGTGATTAAGGTAAGGATCTCACCATGAGGTCGTGGGCCCCAAGTCAATGACAGGTGTCATCCCACGAGAGAGAAAAGGAGAAGACACGCAGGGAAGAAGTCCAGGTGAGGACGGAGGCCAAGGTCGGAATAGGCCCAAACCGCCAGGAGCCACGGGAAGCTGAAGAGGCAGGAAGGACCCTGCCCCAGGCCTGTTGAAGGAGCGGCCCTGCTGACACCCTGCTTTCAGACTCCGGCCTCCAGGTCTGTGGGAGAATACATTTCTGTCATTTGAAGTCACCAGGTTTATGGTCATTTGCTAGGGCAGCCCTAGGACACTAAGTGCAGAGAAGTCGATGTCATAGAAGATGAGACATCGATGAAGCTGGGCATTTGAAAGATAAATAGGAGTTCTCTGGTTAAGAAAGAGGAGAAGGTCAATAATAGTGCAATAGCTATGCATGGGGCCAGGTGGATACTGAAAATATGGGGGACCACTTTGTAAAATATGTGATTAACCACATGCGGTACACCTGAAACAAATCCCATATAATAAAAGCCTAATATGCTAAGTGTCTGGTCGTCCAGTCAGCTGTCAACCAATCAAAGTGTAATATGCTAATGATATGCTAAGGCAACTCAACTGCTTGCTCTGACGTGCACTGATCACCAGGGGGCAGATAGTCGACCGGTCGACCAGTCACTATGATATGCACTGACCACCAGGGGGCAGACGCTCTGACCAGTAGGTTAGCTTACTGCTGGGGTCCGGCCAATCGGGACTGAATGAGACAGTCCTCCCACAGTCCCTCCCCAGCCCTGATCATGCACCAGTGGGGTCCCTCAGCCTGGCCTGCACCCTCTCGCAATCTGGGACCCCTCAGGGGATGTCAGAGAGCCGGTTTCGGCCTGATCCCGCAGGCGAGGCCGAGGAACCCCACTGGTACACGAATTCATGCACTGGGACTCTAGTACTAAATAAAATTGAATATAAGCTAAAATTGAAAATGTTAAAAAATATATATATATATCTTTAATCCTCACCTGAGGATATTTTTTCCATTGATTTTTAGAGAGGTGGAAGGGAAAGGGAGAGACAGAGAGATATATTGATTGGTTGCCTCCCGCTGCCCCCAACCAGGGTCGGGAGCCTGCAATGGAGGTATGTGCCCTTGACTGGAATCGAACCTGGGACCCTTCAGTCAACAGGTTGACACTCTATCCACTGAGCCAAACCAGCTAGCGCAAAAATATTTTGAGAATAAGGGCCTCCCAGAAACAGGAGTGGTAAACTCTAATTATAATAATAGCAAACTCGGCCGCAGGGCCTATCTGAGGGCCTTGTGCCCCCTCCCCCGAATCCTTCGCCAAGCCCCCGTGATGGGCCTCCTCACCCTTTGACCCGCTCAGGAGACTGGGCCGAGGCTCAGTGACTGTGCTGCGAGACCCTGCCCCTCCCCCTGAAGCCCTGGGACTCGCTGACCCAGGGGTTTGCTCCTGGCTGTGCGTGCCCAGCCCCAGCACAGGCAAGGCAGGGGTGCCAGGGCCTGATGCTGAGTGGGTACGAACTGGCCAGATTCCTCGGCCCTCAGCTGGGGCGACCCCAGGTGTCCGCCATGCAGTCTCCCCGAGTCCCGGCAGGGCTGAGCTGCCGCAGCGGCAGCTGGCTTCGTGGTAGGCTCTCCTGGTTCCTTTCTCCTCCCTGGCTCACGTCCCCACTACCGCTCCCAGGAGCCGGCTCACACTAAACCACTGTGCCCGGCCCTCGCTCAGGGTCTGCTCTGGGCGAGCCCCGGACCAACACAGTGTTGGAGTCGAGGCCCATCCGTGGTTTACTCCACCCACAGCCTAAGCTCGGACCCACCGAACTCCTCTGCCCAGTGGGGTGATGCGCAAAACGTCCCAATGTGCAGCCCACTTTAGGGACACGGAGCCGAGAGCCCTGGGAAAGCAGCAGCGGGGGACCAGGCTGAAGCCGCTACTGACCGGGGAGCACAGCATTCCAACGGGGCCTGTATTCACCTGGAGCCTGCGGTGCCAGCTTGGGCCACTCCAGCGAGAAACCTGCCCTCTCGCAGCACCCCAGCCTCTCCAGGGCCCGGGCCACTTGTCCCCCCTCCTCGGATGCTCTCATCTGTTCACTCACGGGAACCGGCCCAGGGCAATCAGCTGGCAGAGCGCTTCAGAGACAGGTCTGCGTGGCTGTGACCCTCGCCGGGCGAGCCAGCGCCAGATGAGGAATTGCTCTGTCCTGGCAGTTTTGCAAAATTCAAAGCTTTTAGCTGGGGCGGAGGGTCAGTTATTGGAAGGCTTCTTGCATCACCGTCACAAAACGCCACCTCGTTAGCCAGAGAGGTGGTGGTGATGGTCTGCGTGAGGCCAGCACTTCCTTTGCTTTGGGAAAGATCCTTCAAGAATGTGAGTAACACAGAGGACGTGGTGGCCAATTTTCCTGCCACATGAAACTGATTCAATGGGCACTTTATTTCCATCTAAAGGGAATTACCTTCCGTCCTCGGGTTTCTTGCAAGGAAAGCGTCCTCTCCCTTGGAAGAGGGTAGGAGTACATTTAAGTTATTCATTAACTCATTTAATTATTCATTCATTCATTTAATTATTCATTCATTCATTCATTCAGAGCCCTAGAGCAGTAACAGCTGCCTGCATTGGGGGTGTTGACTCAGTGGCTGCATTAAGTGCTTTACATGCATTTAATCCTCCCAGCTCTCTGAGGTAGGTCTTTGGTCCCATCTTGCAGACAAAAGAACAGGCTCAGCCAAGTTCATTAGCTCCCCCACGGCCACCCAGCCGGGAAGTAGTGGAACAGAACTGGAGAGTGAAGATCTGAATTCGAATCCCTCTCGCCCTTCTCACTACCCCTGTTGTGTCAGACGCGTCTTCAACTCATTTCACTGAGCCTCGGTTTCCTCCTCTGGAAAATGGGCGTGTGGCTCTTAAAGGGGCAGAGAGGTGAAATGCCAGCACCTTGCGGGACCACTTCACACACTCCGGTGTCCGCTCTTGGGTTGCCCATATCCCCAAACTGGGCTTCTCCCCAACAAAGATTAAATCGGGGAGATTTTTAAGACCTTCCCCAGCAGCGAGATGTCAGACCCTCTGCGGGAGATTAGGGGTCATCCCACCTTTTGTTGTCGTTCAGATTCAGACTCTGTTGACTCGCAAGTCAGTCCTGCGGTCCCTCTTGTCCCCGGGTGCACCGCTGGGCACACTGCCCTCCTCGGTGGCCAGTGGAGAGGCCCTGGGCTGCCTGCCTCGCCGGCATCCTCTGCGCC